GTTGGTGTAGATTATTTCACAAAGTGGGTTGAAGCTCGGCCGTTATCCAGTCTTACTTCCAAGAAGGTTGAAGACTTTGTTTTCAGCTCAATTATCTGCAGATATGGGATCCCAAATCAAATTGTGGCTGATAATGGAACTCAATTTAACTGCACCTCTTTTCGAGATTTCTGTTCCAGCTACGGGATTAAATTGCAGTTCACCTCGGTTTACCACCCGGAGTCCAACGGCATGGTCGAATCTGTTAACAAGTGCATCTTAGAAGGTATAAAGCCAAGGCTGGAACAACACAAGGCCAAATGAGCAGACGAGCTCAACAACGTCCTCTGGGCATACAGAACTACAAGTCGAACTGCCACAGGTACTACTCTACACCTGGCCTATTTGATCAATTTTCTATTATTTTACTTCTTCTACGGTTTTACCTTAGAGCAAATATGCATAACATGTAAAGCACATTCTAAAGTTATAATCTACTCAAATAGGTGAAACACCCTATCATCTGGCCTTTGGTACCGAAGTAGTCATTCCTATCGAGATAGGAGTTCCAAGCTTTAGAGTCACCCATTTCGATGAAAGACAAAATGGACAACTGCTTCGGGAGAACCTTGATTTGCTTGATGACGTTAGAGAAGAAGCACGACTTCGGACTCTAGTCTACAAGCAGAAAATAGCAAACTTCTACAACAAACGAGTTCGACCCCGAACATTCAAACTAGGAGACCTTGTCCTCAGGAAAGCTGGTCTGACGGGGTTCGAAACTCGATTTGGCAAGTTGGCGCTGAACTGGGAAGGACCCTACACTGTCGCCGAAGTGCCACACCCAGGTGCTTATATCCTACGGGACACTGAAGGAAAGAGGGTTCCTAGAGTCTGGAACGTCAATAATTTGAAGAAATTTTACCATTAATGCATCTCTTTCTAGTAAACTTTAGCTCATTTTTATATTCATTGTTATTCCATTTGTGTCCGAACTCAATTACTTCACATCATTAGTAAACTTCACTTCACATTCGAAGTGATTCAGTCCTTTCATTAGGACTTATTCAGTCACCTCATTTGTTGGGTTATGATTTTATTACACTTACTTTTGAAGTGATTTACTCATTTGAAGGCCGCCTCTTATATATCCAAGGTCAATTCCTTTACTCGAGGTCAAAACCTTGTATTAAATAAAGTTACTCTATTTTATCCGAAGTCATTCACTTAAAGTAAACCAGCAATTCGAAACCAAAACTGAAGACTAAGAATAAACCTCAAAAATTTTATAACATAAAATCTCAACAATGTTATTTACAAGTATAACTAAAAAAT